GACTGTCCCAACATACCCAGGTTTTGACTCCCTCTAAGGATCTCACTGATTGACATATCAAAGACAGCCCAATCCGACACCTAGTGCAATACCATAATCGAGTCTAGGAGGTGTAACATTTCAGTTTTGCCCATCTGTCTCTAAGGTCCAGGGCAATACTGAAATTTCGGTCTGGTTCAGGGTTTCAAGAAAACCCACACTGCATGCACCTTAGCTCTCACCCTGGCATCTAAGACAAACCACCCCAACCAACTTGGCGGCACATCAGTGTCAGCCTTGGCAGGATAATCCCCCCAGATCTATCCAACGGCTGTGAAGATTCTAAACTAACACACGTTTCATAAGTGTCCAGTTTAAGGGTATTATACAGAAAATACCAAAACACATGAGTCAATTATATACTTTTATTCATTTACAATAAATGCCATCAAATACATCAATCTGATTGGAGCTAAGGGCATACACTATCTAACAAAATGATCATTGAGTCCAGTCATCCTATGAAGGCCCAAGGATAATAGACTTAAGTAAGATATAGCCCATCAGGTAAACAACCCTTAATGGTCTCTTACACTTAACCTCTTGGCCCATAATGATCAAACACTACCCGACAAGGAAGGACATCTCCCTTGACTGCAAGGTGCAGTGTTGCACTCTCTGCTTGGATGGGTCCCGGGAATTAAAACCTTTTGCAAATACTTTTTCCTTAAAACATATATATATATATATATATATATATATATATATATATATATTGCAAAACAAGTCTCAAACATAGTTGAAATCGACTACTGACAGTTTTGATTTCCATCAGAGAGAGAGCAATCCTGACCATTCACTTTGTCCGTAATGACCAAGTGATTTGGCAGCCCAATTTCTTTTTCCAAGCAAGAGTAAAAGAATATAGAAAATAAAAGCTCTAAACTCAATCCTGTCACCAACTGATATATTGCTAGTAGAATGACCATAATGTTTGTAGTTTATATTGGATTCAAAAATTTTGGTCTTGCTGGTAGATCACTTGACAATGTTTCCAAAAGGCACCAAAATCAAACCAAAGGCACAAATTTTGATCTTTGAAAGATAGCATTTAAGTGATGGGGTTCAAATCAAGGCACGAGAAAGAAAACCTTGCAGACACCACCAGATGCATCATTAACTCTAACAAAACTTTCTAGATGCTAAAATGCATTTCTAAACTGATCAATATCTACTAGAATTGCCAAAAACTGAAACCTCCACAGATCTGAAAGTTGCAGCAACTTGCAAAAATGTCCTTCCAGATTCAAAGTACTAGGAAATTAAATATTTCTCAAAAAAGAAATTTGCAGGATTTTTTTTTTCAATTTATAAAAACTACATATTTTTCAAACTACTGATGCTATAAAAATACCCATGGCCAGTGGTGCCTTGTTGGCTGAGGAAAACCCTATTTTTCCTTGAGAACTTTACAAGTTGTAGAATGTAGATCTGGTCATGTTTCTCTTTTTTCATCTTCCCTCTAATCATGAATTTGGCCTACATCATATAGGAGGAGAAAAAAAATGGCCTACAATGCATTTCAAAAGAGGAAATTTGAAATTAAAGAAAAAAAGGGCACTTTATGTCAGTATGGGGGTTAGGGGTGACCATGGGCCAGGCTGATGCTGAGTTTAGCACCTATGATAAGAGAGAGAGCCTAGGGCTGGGCCCAGCTTGGCCTGGACCTCAAGCTTTAAACAAATCTCTAGCTGGGCTGGGCATTGGGCCTATATCTTTAAGGGTCTGTTTGGCACAGTTGGAATTGGAATCCCTTGGATTCAAAACCTGAGTAGTCTATTCTCCTTGCCTGTTTGGTTTAGATTGGAATCAGAATCAGAATAAGAATTGGCTGGAATTGATTCTCATTCAAGGGGAAGGGGAGGGTATGGCCATTCCCTCAAATGGGGGAATGCCATTCCACCAGGAATGGGAATGCAATTCCGACTGTTTGGCACAGTCGAAATTGGAATCCCTCGGATTCGAAACCTGAGTAGTCTATTCTCCTCACCTGTTTGGTTTAGATTGGAATCAGAATCAGAATTGGCTGGAATTGATTCTCATTCAAGGGGAAGGGGAGGGAATGGCCATTCCCTCAAATGGGGGAATGCCATTCCATCAGGAATGGAAATGGGATTCTGACTCCACCCAGCCAAACAGTTGGAATTGGAATGGATGATTCTGATTCCGATTCTGGACCCCTATTCCTGCAACCAAACAGACCCTAAATATATTACTAGAGAATGATCCTGTACAAAGTATGGGGCAACTACACCTATATATCCCTTTGTTTGAGATTCATTATTTATCTGGTATAACTAATTTTGAGTTTCTTGTTTAACTTAAAAATTAAATTGGGTTTAAGTGTATTTGACAGCCTATTTCATCTAAAAGAATGGGACCACACCATTGAAAGTCTTGTATTTGAATTAGAAAGATTAATATGGACCCCACAGCTTTTGAAGTGAGTACTTTTTATAAGTAGACATATGTTTGAAAGTAGCACTTTTTTCTGAGAGTGGAGTTAACCACTCACATTTTTTTGAGAGTAGGTAGACACATGTTTGAGGAAGAAGGCTTCTACTGACGATGGAAGCAACCATTATTGGATACTATTTCTTGAAAAGATAGGTTGCCATGTGTCTAAAGGAGAGTCTCTCTTGTTGTATGACTTTACTATATATATGTTATTAGATATTTAATATGTATAATGTTTTTATCCTCCTCGCATGGGTTTATTGAGTCTTCTTTCCAATAGCTCCTCTACTCCCCCCGCCCTTTATAGCCTTCCATCAATATATCTATCTATCTATCTATCTATCTATCTATCTATCTATCTATCTATCTATCTATATCTATATATATATATATCTGCTATAAAGTGTATAAATATAAAATGTTATATATAATATATTATATATGCTATTTTATAATATTTATAATTTTATACATATAATATATCATAAAAATAAAATACATATTCTATATATATGTATTACAGGCTGGGCAACCTGGGCCTGGGGGCCCAGAAATTTGCAGCCTGGGCCAGGCAGGGCTAAGAATGATCACCCAAAAGGGGGTCTTAACTCTTAAGCTTGTGGCAGAATGCACAAATTGAGGTGCATACCTAAATGAATTGGCCCTGTTTCTCCTCTCTTTCTTCATAATGGTGCACTATATTTAAGATGAAAAAATGAAGAGGTAGAGAGGAATAAAGAACTAAGGATAGGACATTGAAAACCCTTTTAAAATATTTTAAAAGGGTTTGTCCTTTGGCCATGGGGGAGTACTGGGAACAAGATGTAGGTAGCAGTAGTACCCCTCTGATATATAATGAATTCTAAGTTTCTAACCAGATAGTCATACAATTCATTGTGAACGTTGGTGTCTTTATCTATAATCTGTCTCACATAGCCTTATTCTTAATTAAGTAGTGTTTCATTGAGCCTTATTTCTGATTTGGAGTCAATGGTGTCATAATCCATGTTGGGTTTTAACCTTGTCTCATGAAGGGTGACATTGGTTTCTTTCGGTGAACGTTCTTGGTTTCTCCACTTAGATGTTGCTGTAGTTCTTAAGAAATTTGTAGTGCACGTACATGTTGTTAATTCCTCTTATTATTAATTATGAGTTACTTATTTTTGTTTGATATTTTACTATTGCAGGAGAATATAAGGCGGTGTGTGTGCATTATTTATGATCCATCACGGTCAAATCAAGGAGTTTTAGCTCTCAAGGCCATGAAGCTCACAGATTCTTTCATGGATCTTTACCGTAACAATAACTTTACTGGGGAGAAGTATGGGATTTTCTGGTTTCATGGTCTGTCTATAGAAGGGAACTTGCTATTTGGAATCTTATATGCTTTTTTTTTTGCGTAAATAGGTTGAGAGAGAAAAATTTATCGTGGGTGGATATCTTCGAGGAAATACCTGTATGCTTCCAGACCTCCCAATCGCTATTTTAAATAATTTACTAAAGTTCTCTGCATTGTGATTTAGAAAAAGAAGTTTGTTTCTACTTAACATACATGAAGATCTGTTCCCAATAATAATGTCTATATTGGGTTTTTTTTAGACTTCCCATTACCTATATTTATTCATTTATTATACAATTGTAATATATCCTTTTTAATAAATAACCGTTACAAAATTTATTCAATGTAATATATTATTTCAAGATTCTTAAGTCGGTACTTTTTCTTTTGATACTAAAAATAAATATATTTTTGGTTCTCTATGCCATTATCTGTGTTGAGGAATTTCAGTTGCCCCAGTGATATGTTTGAGACAATCCAGTACCTATATTTATTTATTGATTATTTATTGTACGTTCTATGTAGGTTGGTATTTATTATGTTACAAATCTAACTCCAATTGGTACAAATCTAACTCCAATTGGTACTCTATTTTGGATGATGGCCTAAAGTTCATAATCAAATGCATGTATGTTTCAATATGGGTACCTTTCATATATTGAGATTATATGATTCTTATACTGAACCTGTATTTTTAATGGATGCTTCTAGAAACCAATAATTGAGTTGCCTGTCGGGAAGTCCATCCTTCTATTTAAAGCCTGGCAATCTCTTTGTTTTGTCAGCTTTGTTGACTTGGATACCTGTAAAATAGCCATACATCTTCTCATGTCAATATCTGTTTCTGTTGGGCATCTTGGATCTTAATGTGTAACAGAGTATTGGGCCCAAAAGTTGACAACTAGCAGCTAGGATTTCAGCATTGTCTAATCCATACAGATGTTGATCTTGTCTGTGATTTATAGATGTTACTTCTACCTACAGTGGGCATGAAATGGTTCTCTTTGTGATCCATAATCATTTATGTTATTTTTCTGTTCAACCAAAATTATTATTTGATACAATGCCAATTACTCAGACGAATTAGGTGTCTTGTATCTATTGGTTGTTAATATAATACCCTTGTTTTTAATGTTTGTTTAGATGTTTATAGTTGTTGTATTTCTGGACAGATTAAAGTTTCAAATTCTGCACTTATCAGTGCCTTCATGACAGAGCTGGAGGCCGAGACACCAGTTTCCCAGGTTTATCCTTTATTGTTCTCAATTAATCAAAATCTATCTGTATCTCCATAGAGACATGCATATATTTATATTTCTCTCTGCCACCCTGTTCTTACTTTGCCTCTGCTTTTCTGAAGCAGTGTGATTATGATCGTTTACAATTATCAACCAGTCCATTTATGGAGAGGAATGTAGAATTTTTGATTGAATGTATGGATGATTTATCTATGGAACAGCAGAAAGTAAGTGCTTTCTTTGGCTTTGTATTATTTGTTTTCTGATATTATATCTTTTGTACATAACAAGAGACACATTTTCCTCTTCCAGTTCCAATTTTACTATCGGAACCTCTCCCGTCAACAAGCCCAACAGCAGGCATGGCTTCAAAAGAGAAGGTAATAAAAATGCATCTTTCTTGGCTTCCTCGTAAGTCCAGGAAATTCTTTTGGGTAGGCCTGCTTTCATGTTCTTCTAGTACACCGTAAACATGTAAATAAATAATTGACCTTTTTTGTTTTGAGGGTTTCACATTGTATTCTGATAATCAGTGCTCCAATTATTTATATGTTGGAGTATTTCGCCTCTTGATTTTTAGGGGTTATCATGGACCTTGCCTAGCATCTTGTACAAGCGGTTTAGTGTAAGCCTGGCTCCTGCCCGGCCTGCACCCTGAGCGTGAAAGACTTAAAGAAGAGAGAGCTATGGGTATATTAGGGAGTTGAAAATTAGGAATAAAGTTTTGGTGACCAGCTTATATAAAATTGTGCCCAAAATGTTGTCCTTGAGAATATGAGTAGTCTTCTTACCCAATTTAATAAATCAATCACAAGGAGCCCCGATTCAAGGAAAACAGATTACAGATCAAATTCTAACAACGAATGAGCGTGTGGAGGATTTTAAGAGAAGGGAAGAGAGGATTTGTGTGCAAATTGGATTTGGAGAAAGCTTATGATAAGGTTGATTGGTCGTTTTTTGTTGGAAATGTTGAAGAGTTATGGGTTTGGAGAGAGGTGGTGTGGTTGGATTGAAGGTTGCCTAAAAACTTGCCACTTACTAATCTCCTACCTTTTTGTTGTAGGCCTTTGGGAAAAGCTTTTTGGTCTATTTGGTTGTAGGTGGACCATGCTGTTGCAAATTAAGAGTCCATTTGACCCTACTACCTTCAAGTGGCTAAAGAGGAGAGGTAAAGTCTTGTGGGGATATTTTTGGGCTGCTTTGGAATGGACAATTTGGGAGGAAAGAAATGCCTGAATTTTCAATGAGAAGGAGAGGGGCGAGGCTTCTGTTTGAGATTGCATAATCAACAAGGCTAAATTCTTGGATCTTTTTTTCTTGAAGAATCAATAAAAAATTCATTAAAAGAAATGGTTACATCCTAACACCCTTGGTTGTCAAGATGACACACCAGATACATCAAGCACATACTTTTAGTACATGCTCAAAACATTAAACTGAAAACGCTTCTACATTACAAGGCTGTAAGTCAAGGGAATTCCAGACATTTTCCAATAAATCAGCTTTGGAGACTTGATCAAAATCTGGGAGACAGAGAACCCACTCTGATATCAGATTGGACACTGTAGCAACTATGTATTCTATATTGTTTGACCTGTTTTTTTTTATCAGCAAGAAATTTTAATTAATAACAGAGAAATTCAATTACAATAGGTAAAGATTGCTGAGAGACATTAATCTAAACTGCAATCTCAAGCAATCAGTTACAATTCTGCCCAATACAATGAAGATCTATTTGCCCCTTTTTTTGCTAGGGTATCCAACATCCCATTTGCATCCTGTTTGACCCAACCAAACTGAGAGTTGATCCTCCTTGCAAGTATGTCAATTTCTCTGAAGATAAATTTGGGCTTCCAAGGTACTGATGTGATGTTTTTAGCCCAAGAAATGACCAATAGTGAGTCTTCTCCTATTTCTATGTCTGTTGTTCCTATCTGCTCAGCCATCTTTAGACTTTGAAGTAGGGCTAGAGTTTCAGACTGAATTGAGTCGCCAATACCTATTGGTCCTGAGTAGAGTGCCACCACCACACCCAAATGATTTCTAAACACACCCCCTATGCCTGCACTTCCTGGGTTGCCAAGAGAACCCATCAAAGTTTAGTTTTAGTTTGTCCAATGCCGATGGCTTCCATTCCATACTTACAAATACTTTGGGTGCATCTGTTTGTGCTATTTCAGCCCAATTTTTTAGAATCTCATTCGTTGAGTAGTTTTTGAATATCTCCATGGTCTTCACCCAATATGCAGTTTTGATTTTTATGGCTTCAATAACTTCCTCCTTTGTTTTACTTTTTCCAGAAAAAATTCTTAGGTTTCTTTCCTCCCATATAGTCCATACTGTAGCTGCACTTGCTGCCTTTCATAAAGCACTTTCCTCTTTTCTTCTGTTGTCGCAGGAAGGAGGGGCTGAAAAGACTTACTACATCCTGTGGGGGAACCCATCTTTATCTAAAGAGAGAACAAACAACATTCCAAATACCGGAAACAAAAGAGAAGGATAAAAGTAAGTGGGTTAGGGTTTAACCACAACCCATACAAAGGACACACACATGAGGAGAGAGGCAATTGTTTGGCCTCTTTTTCTGTAGCACATCACAAGTGTTTACCTTCCCTGGGAACACTTCCCAACAGAAAGCTTGTACTTTTGGAGGGATCGGTTTAGACCAGATTTCTCTCACTGGGAAGTTTACCCCCATAGGATCAGTGTGACTGAGCAAACCAAAGAAAGATGCATAGTAAAATAAACCATTAGAAGTTGGGGACCAAACTCTACTATCAACTATAGATTGATCCAAGTAGACCCTCTCAAGTGTTGAGATCAAAAGCACTAGAGACTCACATTCATTTTCCCTCAACCCTCTTCTGAATCCAAAATCCCAAGAGGTACCCAAATCTAAAAGCAAACCAAACCTAGCAACAAGTTTGTTTTTATGGTTTGATAAGGAGTAGAGGTCTGTGAATTTGACCATAAGAGGCACATCCCCAACCCAAAGGTCTTCCCAGAATAAAACTTTATTGCCACAACCAACATCAAACCTGATGAATTGAAGAAAGGTTGGATATATCTCAAGGATTGCCTTCCAGGGAGAATTTGGAGCTGCATTGGGGGCTAATTTTGCGTCCTAGCCGTTATATGCTTCACCATGAATGCTTTTAATGACCCTGTGCCACAACCTATCTTCTTCACAAGGGAATCTCCACAACCATTTCCCTAGAAGGGGCTTTTTTTTTTTTATCAGTGAATATTCAGATTTATTAAATCAAAGTCAATGATAGTACAACTTAGGGAGAGGCACGAGATGCTACCTCCCCTTTAAAGAGGGGAGATGGAAGAAACCATCAACCCTTTAGTTAAACTAGAAGGGCCTTGTTTTTCTTTAATATGTTCCCTATACCTAAACCACCCTGCTCCTTAGAGTAACAAACTTGCTCCCACTTCACTAAATGATCTTTCTTTTCATCGCCTGGTTCCCACAAAAAATCCCTCGTAATCTTCTCCAACTTCCTAGCTATTTTCACCTGGATCTTAAAGGTGGAGAGGAAATAAGTGGGTAGGTTTGTTAGGGTAGATTTTATCAAGGTGATTCTTCCCCCCAAGGAAATATAATTTCTCTTCCACATTGACAACTTCTTTGTGAACCTCTCTAGCACCGGTTTCCAGAAGCTTTCAGCTTTCGGATCCCCCCCCCCAAGGGCATAGCAGATTTGCCATGGCTTGGATGTTCACCCCCCCCCTCAATGTTGATTCTAGGTACACAACTTTTTCCCCAATTAACTTTCAGTTTGGAGGCCTGTTGAAACTCATCCACCAATCTTTTCAGATTCCTTAAACTGGATTCATGATTCATCATAGCTTTCACAGAAAATAATTAGACACCACTACTTCTGATCTACCCATCCTCTAACCTTTAAACTGGTTATCTTGGTCAACCTTGGTGATTTGTCTACTCAAGACCTCGGCCAAAAAAGTGAATAAGAATGGGGATAAGGGATTATCCTGTCTTAGTCCTCTTTTAGCCTGGAAGAAATCCTTTGCTACCCCATTCATCAGAATAGAAAAATGTGCCGAGCTAATACATCTTTTAATCCACATCCTCCATCTTTCATCTAACCCCATCTTTTCCATTAGATTCAACAGGAAGGACCAATCCACCATATCATAAGCTTTTTCTAAGTCCAATTTACAAATCAAACCTTTGCCACCTTGTTTTTTCTTAGCTGCCACACATTCATTTGCCACTAAGATTTGATCCACAATTTGTCTCCCTTCTACAAAAGCTCCTTGGTTCTAAGAGATAACATAGGGCAAGACTGTCTTCAACCTACCAGCCAGGACTTTAACAATGATCTTATACAAGCTACCCACAAGACTTATCGGTCTGTAATCCTTAGGGGTTTTTGCTCCATTTTTGGCACTAAAGCAATAAAAGTTGCATTTGGTTCAGGCGACAACTTTCCTTTTTGATAGAACTCCAAAAATACACCCATTAATTCATCTTTCAAGGTTTCCCAACATTCTTGATAGAAAGCCATTTAAAATCCATCCGGCCCCAGAGCTTTAGATCTATCCATCGAGAAAATTGCTTCATGTACCTCCTCAATACTGAAAACTCTTTCTAGGAGGGTAGCTTCGGATTCTGGCACTCTGTCCCACTGTAAATCTCCCAATTCTGTATTGTTTTCATAAGAGGATGCAAGGATTAACTTAAAATGATCCACGAAGCACCTTTCAATTTCTTCCTTTGAATTTACTACTCTTCCCTCCGCCTCTATACTGGAGATTTGGTTTTTCCGTCTTCTCCCGTTTGCTAGGGAGTGGAAAGTCTGGTATTTCCATCCCCTTCCAGAAGCCATTTACACTTAGATTTTTGCCTCCAAGAAATTTCTTCCTTTCTTAGGATCTCCTCTAATTGCACTTTTAAGTTCCATCTTTCAGCTCTATCCTCTGGCCCGCAGTTTCTCTCCCTCCAAATAGACCAACATACTGCAAAAGGAACACGACTCCAAATAATCTTGGCTTTCTTACTTCCTCTAACCTTTGGCCACGATGAGAACATTTCTGCTGGAGCTGATGGATGGAAACCACACATCCCAAATAGAAAAGAGAAGAAACTCCACATGAAGCTTGCTATGCTGCATGAGTAGAACAAATGGGAGACTGTTTCTTCCTCCTGATTGCACAAATAGCACCAACTGGCCAGATGATATCCCCTCGACTAATGCCACCAACCAGGCAAAAGCTTCTACCCTTGGGGGTATTGGGTTCCCCCATACTCCTTTTATCTAATCTGAGCCCCTTTCATCTTTAACTAATGCTTTGTAGAATGACTTGACTGTGAATCTGCCTTCCTTGCATTTGATGGTATTTGGAGGAATTGGGATTTGGTTGCAAAAAGCTTAGTTGTGAAGGATAAGCCAATGATGGTGTGGTGATCCCTTGAAAAAGGTGTTATCAAGCTGAACTTTGATGGCTGTAGTCTAGGCAATCCAGGTCCTACCGGGATAGGGGGAGTCTTCAGAAACGCAGAGGGGCAGATTGTGGCTTTATTTTCTGGTCCTATTGGAGTGGGGGATTCTGTTAATGCAGAATTCCAAGCAGCTTTACAACGAGTAGAGATTGCTAAAGAGTTGTGCTTTCAACAGTTGTTAATTGAAGGGGACTCAAAACTTGTAATTGGGTGGTTGCAAGAACCGAATCAGCAGCTTGGTCCTATGGAGGGCTTTGAGAAGGTTCAAATGGTTAACCACAAATCTAACAGTCAGAATTCAGTGGGAAAGGAGATCTGCAAATGGCGATTGTCTAGCTAAGCAAGGGGTTTATAAGAATCAGCTTGGTCCTAATGAGGCCGTATCTTGCACCTCTTTATGGGAAGCAGTCATGCTGTACTCTTATTATTGACCTTTATAAAATTTCTACTAATAAAAAAAATTGGAATGGTCCTAGTGATGTGAGGTCAAGGTAAGTATCACAATATATAATAAACATATAATTCTGGACTGGGCAATAACTATTGAGCCCAGGCCTGGCCTGCAAATTTCTGGGTTTGGCTGCGTGGGCCAGGCTTGGACTTAAAATCCTAACCTTAGGCTTGGAAACTTGCATGCCTTCCTGTATGAATTGTTCACCTCATTAATTTCTTTCCCAATATACTTTTTGTTTAAATTCAAAATGCCAAAGTGATCTGATTTTTATTTAATGGGTGGAATTTGTGTTTTCATTGGGGGATTGGAACTTGGAAGATAGTGCTGCTACCGGTTGCAGCAGAAAATATGATTTTTCTAATTTGTGGCCTTTGTGCCAGCTGATTCTATGACAATTTGAAGTTGTTGGCAATATAATTTAGGTGTTGCAGTCTCTTGTCAGATTAGTTAGATTTTCCACTTTGGTGATCAATACCATTCGCAACACAAATATGCTCTTGCACTTGCACCATCGAGAAATGAAGAACAATCAACCTAGGGCTTAAGTATTTAACAGATTTGATTCCAGATTTGGACTCAGCCCTGAATTTGTACCACTTTATTTTGAAGGGATTAGCTTTGTTAATGAGGCTCCTTTTGGTTTTCTATATTTATAGGCAGGTTAACCAATATGTGGAACATCTAACATCACTTCTTGAATACCTCTATTTATGAATCAATTTTTTTTTTTCATTATATATTTTCTACTTAAAACTCAGCATGACACACTTTGGAAATCTGTCCAGGTGTTGGATGGAGAATTGGATATATTTCATAGTTTTTTTCTTGTGTACTCTTCCAGATCTAGTACATTTACCCCTAGCATCCTACGGAGGCTGAAGAGAGACCTGTTTTGCCAACTTGCTCTCATTTGTTGTTAATTATTAATTTTTCCTTTTTGGTTTTGTTTTTTTTCAAGGTTTACTCTTCTCCAAATTATTTTGGATAGAACTTTAGCAAGTTTCTTTTTATAGAGCTTTTGGCTAACATTCAGTTTTCTTTATAATACCTTTCCCTTCTTAATTTTTATAGGGCAGAGAACATGGCACGTAAAGCTGCAGGAGAAGAAACATTGCCTGAAGAGGATCCTTCAAACCCCATCTTTAAGCCAGTTCCAGAGCCATCACGATTGGATAGCTTTCTAATAACAAATCAAATTGCTAACTATTGCAATCAAATCAATGGGTACGCTATATTCCTTCTACTGGCAGCTGGTTTTGTAACTTAAAGTATGAAAGTATGAAACATGTGGATTTTATGGTCATGCATACTGAAATAGATGGATTTTGAAGTTATCATCATCATTATCCTGTTTTGCCATTCCCTTCGGTTCAGTGCCATGGATTTTGAAGTTCTACCATAACTAATTAAGGTTCAAGTATTGATGTGGCAATTTGTTAGGTGCTTCAGAAATAGGGAGTTTACAGTTCTATTTCATCTGATTGCATGTGCATGTGTAAATGTTTATGCATTTTGAAGTTGTCTTAATTCTTTCTTCATCTCTCTGTGTCTGCTTGCATGTGGTACATGTAAATATTGTTTCTACTCGTTTTCTTTTTGATTGGCGTGGATACTTTTTTGAATTATATTTTGCTAGAGGATGTCTGCAAATTGTTTATATGATTTGGAAATGGAAACTTGCAGGGTTGTGGGTCAGAGCTTCAACAGATTATATCTGATGAAGGCTTTACAAGAGAATTGACTAAAGCGAGCTAAAGCCCATGTAGAGGTATTTGTTTTGAGTTGGGGGGGTTCTACATTGTTGCTGGAAGTGGGGCTTCTACATTGTTGCTGGAAAACAGAAGTTGAACCATCCAGCAATTTGGTCTATTGTATGGTTTTAGCAGATTTTATATACCAGCATTAGTAGGTAATTGAGTTCGTAGGAAACGATTTTTTGGCGATGGCGAGTCATCAATCATAATTTTATTTCTCTGCACAAAATTATTGCTTTGAGTTCATCGGCTCCCTTGTAATTTGTTTTTTTTTTCTTGATTATTTTCAATATCATAAATCTTGTTCTTTTTTAATTTTTTCATGGGGCTAGTAGGTACACAAGGGGGGTGTTAGCCCTTTCCCCATCCCCTCGATCCTTGGCCAAGTCTGTACCAAGGTTCAAAGTATCGACATGTATTGGCTGATACGTATAGTTCCGGGACCCCTCCGATACATCCCTATAGTGGGTGTATCGGGGGTCTGACTGGTTCAGGGGATGGAGGAGCCCTAAACTGGCCCCCCGAACCGGTTTCAGAAAAAAAATAAAAAAAAGTATCGATTCGCCCGATATGCCCATACCGTTGTATCGGGCGTATCAATATTTTGAACCTTGGTTTGTACTACGAAGTGTCAGAGATCCTACCTTGGTTCTTTTTTGGGAAAGTAGACTGCATTCCACCTCAGAAATCTGAAATTACAGCCCCCTCCTAGTCTACTAGTAGCCCCCACTCCTATAAACCGCATCCTGTCCGTGGATTTAGCATCGATCCACAGTCATGATTCATTCCACCTGTACGGTGGAGTTAAGATTGTTTCCCTCTTGTTGAATTTTTTCCTCATACAAGTACAACAATGGTTTAAGGCAGTATTTGGTTTCCACCTTACGCCTACGATGTGTCAAACCTAGAACCTCACAACACACTGCACCTGAGACCTACTTGAATGGATCATATCAACCTCACCCACTTGCAGCAAAGGGGTCTTATATTTATTTCTTGCTATTAATCACTGCTTGTCACCCCATAAGGGTCTCTTACTCTTTTAAGTGAATAGTTTAACATCACATTAACAATTCTTTTCTTACAAAGATGATAATAGCGGGATTTGAAACTGCACCACTGTTTAGGACAATTCATTCAGCGTACCAATTGCACATGATACTATGGTGGCCTCATTCATTTACTGGTATCTTGCATGCATGGAGTAAGTTGGTCAACTAGGTAATGGTAAAAAATGAGGGGCAGTTTAGCCATTATTTAAAATTTGTATGGTAAAAAATGAGATAGAAAAAGGAAAACATGCTATTCTGAAAAAAATGAAAAGTGAAAAGCAATATTGACTAAGGGTCAAAGTATTGGAAACACAAGGTGTATCGCAAGGTTCGATCGGTTCGTTCCGGGACCCCTCCGGTACGCCCCTATAATGGGTGTATCGGAGGTTTGACCGGTTCACGGGTGGAGACCTAAATCGGCCCCCTAAATCTGTTTCAAAAAAAAAGGTAAAAAAATCGCATCGATTCACCTGATACACCTCTATCGGGCGTATCGATATTTTGAACCTTGGTGTATCGAAAAGACAATTTTAAGAGACGTATCAAGATACACTTTGAATACGTATGGATACGGACGAAAAAATAAGATACGCTAAATATGGTAAAAAATTCAAATAATTCTTAAAAAATATATTACTAACTATATTTACAAATTTTATATGATTGTAAATAAGTCATTTAAATGTAGAGAACCATAATTTAATGGTTTGTATAAAGTGTGACATATCGGGACACAATTAGTAACTATTGAAAAAATGATGGAATAACTAAAACGTAAAAAAACAAAAAAAAACTAAAATATGAATGCCAATTTTCAAAAAGCAATATAATTAATTTTAATATTTATTAGTATATAAATTTTAATAATTAATTCTAGCATTTATTAATAAAAACTTGTCGCTCATTAAGAAAAATGAAAATTTACTTAAAATTAAAAGTACATATAATCATAACAAACAAATATGTGTGTCTCATTGGCAAACTCGTGGTTGTTAAAACTTAAAGTCAAGTGACCAAGGTTTGAATCTTTTTGTAGTTATAATTTGATGTTTTTACACTAACAAAATGAAATTAATGGTAAGGGATCATTAATTAAAGGAATTAATGAGAGAATTTGAATTATGTGCTAAAATTCAAATTTGTCTTGGAGTAATTCGTTAATTAATAAAAGAGAAATTAGACTTAAATAACCGACATTAATGAGAGATTCGGTATTAAATATGGATTAACGAATAACGATACAGATCTGAATTGTTTCGGGCTTGTATCGAACTACATCGAGCCCATATCGGCCAATACAAATCCAAAACAACTCGATACGGGCTCGTATCGGCTGATACATACGAAAAGAAACAGGAATGATTTATGCATGCATATCGGGTTTTTGAACCTTGATCTTGAGAGGAATTCTTGTAAGTTGTAACTAGTTTTTTCATCCCACAGTTATGGCTTTTTCATCAAATGGGTTTTGAGGCAGCTTTTGGCCTAAAGTAAGTGCTAGAAATGCTTATTTTAAGCCTTCCAAACATAGCATATGAAGGGATGGGAGATCCATCAGATGGATGGCTGAACCCTGTAGGAAGGTTGGGCGAAATTTCAAAAAATTTCTCTCCCATCCAGGAATTGTATTCCCTAATTTAGAAAACTGCATTTTCAATGTTCGTTTTTGAATCAAAACCAGACTAGATGTGAAACCAAAAGGGAAGTGAGGAATATACCTGATACAAAGTAAAAAGAACTCCCAACGTAGGTGGTCATGCACAAAGAGGATACTAAATCCGCCTCCACTGAAGATGATACTGCGTATGTTGAGGCAGGATCAACAAGAATGGTTATTTAGCAAGAACCTGGGATTCTTCACCAAGAAACAATATCAAGAACACTTTTTGATCACTCTAGTAAGTGGAGATTGAAACAATATCAAGAAACACTGCGTATGTGCCATGTTTGTCATTGCCTACAGAAAGGAGTGTGTTCTCTCTATGGAATTCGCCCCCTATTTATAATCCATTCAGGATCAGCTTCCTAATCTGATTAGGAATGAGACTTCCTAATCTAAATCTTGTATTTAGATCTGCACTCTCAAGTTGATATGACATATCTTATCCAACTGCTAATCTCAATCAAATTATAAACCCAAAATTGGCCCAATTTAATTAAACCATTTAAGCCCAGTTCGAAATGGACTTTAGGTCCATTAAGTCATATTGCTTACTTAACCCATTAAGTATTGGCTAGCTTGGTTCTCTTTGTATGGCATGGGACCCTTACATTGATCTACACATCAGCCACATGGGTTCAGTCTAGCCTTTGTTACAAGGCCTGGTTGAATTCACTGTAGGTCACAGTGAACCCCTGAGTCCATCACCATGGGCTCTTAATGGGCCCAACATTTATACTAAATGGTCATTGGGTCGAGCCATATTGTGAAAATCCAAGGACTGTGGGCAGATGCAATATTAGCCCATCAGGTATTATCCTCAATGGCCTTATACTTAACGTCTTAGCACATGATGATCAAACACTACCCGACAAGAGAGGACATCTCCCTTGGCTGCAAGGTACAGTGTTGCACTCTCTACTCACATAGATCCCGAGAATTAAAACCTTTTGCAAACCAATTTGAAACCATAATATATAAGTATATCTCTATATAAATATATTTTGTAAAACCAAATTTCAAACACATTTGAAATCCATTGCCGGCAGTTTAGGTTTCCATCAGAGAGAGTGCATTTCCCCGACCATTCATTTTGTCCGACAAAGGGGCTGATCTTGTCACTATGATCACCCACTCAGGTTAATTCTCAGACTGCCCCAACATACCCAGGTTTTGACCCGGTAAATGATCTCACTGATTGGCATATCAAAGACAACCCAATCCGACACCTAGTGCAATACCATAATCGAGTCTAGGGGTCAGGTGTAACATTTCAGTTTTGCCCATCTATCTCCAAGGTTCAGGGCAATACTGAAATTTGGTCCGGTTTAGGGTTTCAAGAAAACCCACACTGCATGTACCTCAGGTCTCATCCTGGTAGCTGAGACAAGCCACCCCAACCAACTTGGTAGCACATCAGTGTCAGCCTTGGCAAGATAAATCTCCCCAAATCTATCCAACGGCTGTGAAGGTTCTAAACTAACACAAATCTCATAAGTGTCCAATTTAAGGATATTACACAGAAACACACCATAATAACATGAATCAATTATGCACTTTATTCATTTATAATAAATGACAATAAGTACATCAATCTGATTGGAGCTAAGGGCATACACTATCTAACAGCCTAATAGTTATGTCTTCTTGCTATGTCTTGTAGGTATATAGAGTGTGGATTGGGAATAATGCACTGATGTGACCAATGATAATCCCCCACACTGGTGATAAAATATATGAGATCCACACTAAGAGGTTGAATGCTTGCGGGCTCATGTATTTTATGACTATTGCAAGTGTTATAATTGGTTCCACAACCTGTTGAACAGCTATTGCATTCAACTAATCCTATCATGGTTAGCTGGGTTTTTGCAAATGCAGCAAAAAGGTTATGGGCAAAGAATATTGTTGTGTAATGTTTTGCTACTATTCTTATATATTTTTCTCATGTTCTACTTCTCATATACACAAATTAACATATCCCTTGGTTATTTTGTTCTTGTTTCATTTACGCTTAGAAACTAGACATACATAGTTCATTGGTTTGTTGTTCTGGGTTGTGAGTGCACATCTCATTGGAGTTGAGGGCTTTTTAATGATAGTTTTAGGTTGTGTTTGGTACCATTGCCACTTCTTGTAATATTTTAGATTGATCAATACAAATTTTATGAGAGTATCTTTTTTTTTTCTACCACAAATGCTTTGAGTTATCAAATAACTTCTAGTATCGATCTTGTTTCTTTGGGAAACGTCAAATTTGGTGTTTCTACTATAAATGCTAACACCCTATCCAATGCCTATATTTTCTTTAGTGCAAGTGGTTATCTGGTGTGGTATGACAACAATTTCTCAAAAATCTGTACTGACAAACAAAAAATGTTGCAAGTGGAAGTGGTAATGGAACTGAACACAACCTTAATTACTAGATCAAATTGTTGGATTTGAAATGAATGAACCAGTTCAGACTTGAGAGGCAGGTTGCAAGACATGCTCATTTAAGTTCAAGGAATTAAGTGTAATTAACTAATTACGTA